TGTCACCGTGTTCCCTGTGGCCTGACCAAGTCTGACACTGGGATGCAGTTTAGGCGCTGGCCCCGAGCACATCCCAGGAGTGGTACTTCGGAGAAACCTGCCTGCATCTGACTGAGCAGAGCACATCGTCAGGTGCCTGGAGCAAAAAGGAAAAAAAAAAAAAAAAAAGGACATTTAGTTTTAAGAGAAGGGAAAAGGAAAGAAGAATTTTTTTTCAAAAATCAGTTTGAGGATTCCAGTAGTATTTATGTTGAAAGAAGCAAATTTTAGTCCTTCCAACTGTGCTAAACCTTGGGTATTTGTGAAAACTCCTCACTACCATTCAAGTATCCGAAGAGCTCTCTTGTTCGCACTTACTGTTTGCAAGAACAGAGCCCATCCATTTGTCCTCTTAGCGAAAGTGGCACATGAAGGCAGAGGGGAGGAGGCGATTTGATCTGGAAGAGGAGGGTTTTGATGGTAGTGGCTTTTGCAAAATCTTTATTGATGTTGAAAACTGGAAAAAATAATTCATCCAGAATTCATACTGTCTTGACAAGAACTATGGTTCTGTTTTTAGATATCGTGGAAAATGGTTTTTTTTTTTTCATTTTTCTCTGATTTTATTTTTTCTTCCCTTCCTCCTCCATTTTTCTAAAAAAAAAAAAAAAGAAGAAGAAGAAGAAGAAGAAACAAATCCAGAAAATACATAAGAGAAAAAGAAATTTTATTATTATTGCTATGTGAAAAAAATGCCAGCCCAGAATGCCCAGCTGTTTGTACCTGACTTGTCGCCTGCATAGGAGCCGTCCTGTCACTTCTGATTGGCCCCTCTTCCAAAGGGGAGACTTCCAAATGTTAATTTTTTCTTTTTGAAAATATAAATAATTACTATTTTGTACTGTGTAGTATCTCTGGTCTTTTGTTTCACTCACCTGGCTTGTCTCATGGGTCTGAGTTTCTTGCTTATGGGGTTTTGAAGGCCTGGTTTGATCTTCATCTTTCAGGGATTAGATCTGAAATGTCCAAGAAGCAGTAGGGATTTATTTATTCTCCATAATCTCAAGTTTCCTTTTGAGCATCTGCCAGTCTTGTCCTCCTTGAGGAGCTGCCAACCATGTCCTGATGAGAGGCTGGGACCAGGTCTACTCTGCCAAGGCAAGCAATTGTAGTGGGCCTTTTCTGCACCCTGTGTGTGTTAATACCTAATCCCCAATCTCATTTCTCCTAACAAAATACAAAAAAAAAAAAAAAAAAAAAAAAAAAAAAATTCAGGGGACATGAATATGGAGATTAAATAAAGGGAAATTGTTGTCTCTGATGGGTCTTGTCACTGACTGGTGTATTTCTGGGGAAGCTAGGGTCTTAACTTGCAGTGAGCTCACAGGAATGCATGGGGCTCCCGGCTCCACAGCACTAAACTAAAAATACATTGTTTGGCCAAGGTTGTATTATTTAACCTTAGATGGAAACTCGGCCCTTTTCACATTCCATTTCCTTTCTGTGGCTGCTCTTCACAAAGTTTCTGGTTTTCATTGTGTGCCTACTGCTGGGCTGGGTATGTACGAGCTAGAGACAGTTTTTTCATAAGTGGGACTTGTTTTGTTGCATTCTGTGCCCCTTCTCAGTTTCCTCCCAAGTGTGACCTCTGTAAGGAAGTGTCTGGTTCCCTGTGTACTGACCACTGTTGCTTTGGCCCCCGCTTTTCAAATTGGTGCACAGATGTGGTAATCCAGTGGGCACATCTCCTTTGCCCATACTGCCTCTGTGTGTGTGCTACAGCCTTCTGTTCTCAGCAGACCTTCCTCTGCAGTGTCCTTTGAAACCCCTCAACTTCTCGATGAGTTTGGTTGGACAGGTGATAGGTAGTGTTGGTCTGTAGCTGGGAAAGGTGAAAATGGAGGTAGGCGCATGCCTAAGGTCACACGAGTACTGAGTACCAGATCGTCTAATGTCATATCCTGAAGATTACGTAAGGAGTGGAGGAAGTTCCATTTCTGGAGTGCTTAGGTACAAAATTGGAAGTGAAGCTTGCTTCCTCTGGGAATAGTAAGAACAAAGCTCCAGAAAGGTGCCTCTACTGGCCTGCTCCTCGGAGCTCCCAGCAGGGTGAAGCAGATTTGCTTTCCTGAGCTTCACTCACAGCCCTGGGGTTGAGGATGGAGGACTCAGCATGTGCGCTCAGGAAGGAGCTGTCCTGACATCTGGCTTTTGGTAGGATAAAGATCTCTTCTGGAATTTTCCATACTTGTAGAATTTCCAACGTGGACTTCGCTGTGGATTGAAAACTGATGGAATTTCAGGTGTAGATGAAGCTGCTCAATGCTTCTCCTATTATTATATTATTTCTGGCCATGTTTGTTTTTGTTTAAAAGATACAGTTGAAGCCATCTGGTTATGACAACATCAGAGCCTCAGCATACTGTTCATAAACCTCCCACCGCCACCACCTCTTCCCTTAGCTCCCGCACATCTGAAATTTAATTCAGGTTAACTCCACAGTCTGGGCCGTGTGCCGTCACTGCAGAGCTGCCCGTGCCAGTGGGACAGTTGGAGATGGCAATTCCACAAGGATACGGCTTATTTATCAAAACAGTATTTCAGGCAAGTAGTTCCACAGAACCTTCAGAGTTGCGGTTTTGGGACCAAAGAGAATATCTGGCCGTGTCTCCATCTCCCCACCTCCCTGTGGTCAGCCCCTACCTCATATCTGGCCATCCATGGGGGGAGTGGGAGTAGGGAGAATTTCCCATTCCCCACGTGGAGATTAAACCTGTCTGTGGTTACCAGGCAGCTTGGAGACCTTTATAGGCTTGAACAATTTAGGAAAGAAATGTCCCTCTTTCCCTTTTCACTGATAAGGCTGCTGCTGGCCTTAAGCTCTCAGAGAGCTGCTGCTGCTTTGCTTTTCTTCTTAATTCCAGCCAGGAACATGAAGATCCTGCAACGGGCCAAAAGATCTCTGGCTGGACCAGTTCTGAGAGTTCCTTTTAAAATGTGCCTTCAACCTATTATGGGGCCGCCATGTTGGCTAAGCCCGTGCGGATGAAGGGAAAACAGCTTCTCTGTGAGCAGACAACAAACTGGGGAGGGTGGAGCTGCTGCGCTCGAATCCATCCAACTAGTGCTTTGTTCTGGCCCTTCAACTCCTATAAAAGAACCACTAAATCAGTGTGCAACATGGCTGCGGTGGATCCTTCGGTATACCTTTGTTAAAGACTAATTCTTGGCTGGCACCCAACCTTACTTTCCACAACTCATTATCTTTTTAATCAGCCTGGGCCCTGTGTGTTTCCTTTGTCTTGTGACTTTCCATTGGCCTCTGCCCTCCACCGTTTAGATTCATTTCTGACGACTTGCTGACTAATCTAACATTCAGGTAAGTGTCGCTGGCCTGCTGTGTACGTGTATGCACAAGGTAGCTGTACTTTCCCGCTTTTAATTTCAGAGGCGACTGTGCCCCTGTGGGCCCTTTGACCCGTTAGGTGGATGCCTCCTGGATACAGTGAGCAAGAAAGCAGCTGTAGGAAGATCAGTCTTTGGGATAATGAGCTGGGAGAACCCGAAGCTCTGACCTCCAGATGAGAACAGAACTTGAATATTGTTGACTGATGGGATCTTTAAGCCATTAGCAAAATGAGCACTCCCCTCTGTAAATCCTGTCTGTAACACTGGAGGAGGAAGTGACATCTGCAATACTGTTTGCTGACTTCTGCACTCTGAGAAAAAGAGAATTCTAGACTTGAGGGAATTCAATACAAGCAGCAGAAATGATTAAGGAGTTGAAGGGATCAACTCTAGGGGAAAGACATTATGAAGATAAAGTACATGCCACTCCAGGATAGGAATGTACCTGCAGCTGACAGATGTCACAGGCATCCTGAGCACTTACTGGTTTGGCTTGTGTGGCTCTCATTCATCCAAGTTGTATAAGTTGGAAAGGTGGAAATGTCACTTCCTCAAGGTCACACCTCCTGGCCCAGAGCCAAGAAGTAACAGGCAATAGAATATTTGGTGCTTAGACCCAAGGACCAAAGAGAAGATGAGAAGCCACATTTGCCTGATGGTAGCATGGACTTAGCCACTAATGCTCAGCGAAAAGGTTTTAATGGTGACTTCTTCCCAAATTGAAGGAGGTGGCCACGAAATCCATCTTTTCATGTCGGAGAAAACAGATACCCAGAAAAGAGGAGATGTGCCCAAAGTGACAGAGAGTAAAAGACCAGCAAATGATTGCATTGCACTGGAGATCCTCGTCCTTCCAAGGCTGAGTCTAGGATAGAGGGTAGAATATCTGCTCTGCCAATGAAATCTGCTAGAGGTGGAAGAAAACCAGAGAGGCCTTAGCATATGTTAGGAGAAGAGCGGTGACTGTAAAGCATTTTCAGTCATGATGGAGGAAGAAGCCAAGGCCAACGGGACAAATCAACAGACTTGAGTACAAGCTACTCTTGGCACAAGTTTGGCGGTGAGAAAAGAAAGGAACCAACCCCTAATAACATAATTCAGTTAGTCGGTGAACACATTCATTTTTGTGTGTAATGGTATACAGGCTGTTCACTTGATCGTTTGAGTTTAAGACCACTTCAGCCACTGATACTTGTGTGGTGAAAGTCATGTTTGTAGAATAATTGTAGATTCTAGCTGAAGAAGAGAACAGCCAGCTTCAGTCTACTTTCTTTAGAGAATGATTCCCTAAAGACCTGTTTCTATGCTTTTTCAGCCTATCTTTCAAGTAGAAGTTT